CCATGAAGCAGCTCTGTTGTCCTCCTGGACATTTATGGTTTGATTTCTTTGTATGTATGGATCACTTGGGTTGTTACCAACATCTGGTGAAAATTTCATGTCATTAGCACCTCTAGTAATATATTTACTGAGAAAAATGGTGACGTGTTCAATACTTATTTTACCCACTGTAATTTACTTTTATCAGCTTGTCTTCTGAAGATGCTCTGTGTTGAAGGATCAGTGGATCTGTGTTCGACTACTCCACCTAGGCTGCATTTTTGAGTGCAGATCCACTGAGAAACTTGCTGTTTCAGCAACATTTAATTTAAAAACTGTACTTTTGAGGTTAAACAAATGTTCATAATTAATTTAAACAAATTAAAAGATAAAAGAGGCATGCACATTTCTCTTTTTTGTATCGAAAAAATATTGAACAGTGAGACTAAAGTATCAAAATGAAAAGAATCGTGAAGTTCCTCTAATATTATTTATATAGTTCTAGGTTTTATGACGTAAGTCTTAACGGAGATGTGATTTGGGCTGTTGTATTTTTGTGGTTGTGCGGGTTTTACGTTGTTTGAGCTGAAACTGTCAGTCATATCTGGCAACCCTGGAGGCTGCCTGAAACAGCTCCTCCAAAAACATTTGTATCATTTCACAGACGTTGTAACTCATCAGAAGCACAGGAAACTGGCCAACATTGTCCCTACACACCTGGAAGTCAATCGGTTCCGCTTCAAGTGCTTTTACTTAAAAAGTCACGTTGAGCCATAAAGCAAACCGAGAAAAATCACGAGGAAAAGAGCAAAGAGAAGTTTGAGGAAGAGATGTCCGCAGACACGTAAAGGGGTTTCGGAATAAAAGAAAATGTTTTTGTTAATATTTGCGGCTCAACTTAGTAACACAAAACTTTCACTCGGCAGCAACTATCCTCTTCCTTTTTATCATGGAGGGAAGAGTTAGCATAAATGTAGCTTAAAGTCCAGTACGTACAGAGCTGGTGAAGAAGTCCTCCTCGTCGTCATCGCTGTCTCGGCCTCGGACTTCTTCGGTATCCAGCACGTCTTGGTCCTCGGAGTCGGGGAAAGGAGGAGGGCTACGCTCCGAGCTGGACGCCATCTTCAGTCACACAAACAAAACAACACGAACAGAGAGGAGAGATTACTGCCTCCTCTGACACAACCACACCTGCTTCCTTTAGCCGCTGAGGCCGCAGCGCCGCCACACGGATATGACGTATGTTTACCGGAGCAGCTGTCACGTGACCTTAGGCATGCTGAACACGACTCCATCTTGACACAGTCATTCAACCATTGAGCACAGACCCACAATGTTGTGTCACTGTGCAGCGTTCACTGTGCAGCAATCATAGTGGAAAATGTTACTTTTTGTTTGTGTTTTTGTATTTCTGTTGAGTCAAGGTGTGCCATTAAAACAAAAACAGAAGTGTTGATTTGTACTCCTGATGACTTACTAAAGTTTTTTAACAGTAAGTAAGTAATATTTTACACAACAGACACATTGTTATTTATCCAAATTTATTAATCAAAAGAAAAAAGAAAGAAAAATAACCTGACATTTGTTTTGTGGATTGCTTATTAAAGCTCTGTAACAGTAACTATATTTATTTTTTACATTTTATGGACAACAACATGGACCAAACGTACAGCACATGGATCTCACCAAAACTTGCTCCATTTGCTATGATCATAACAAACATTGCAGGTTTTATGGTGCATCAGATTGTAACTGAGGTGTTTTGTGAATCATCTTTGGTCTCTAATGCTGTCCGACAATCAGTGATGGGATGAAACTAAGTACAAGTACTTTCTTACTGTACTTAAGTACATTTTTCATGTATCTGGGATCGGATTTATAAAACTGGCGTAGGCACAATTTGAGCCCAGAAACTTGCGTACGCCACTTTTTACGCTAAGGTTGTGATTTATAAAACCCAAACTTGACGTGAAAATGTGCGGTGCCTCACAGCTCTGACCCATGTGTACGGTCATTTTGGAGACGTGAA